TTCAGTACTTTCTGCTTAATGTAAAGCCCTAAAGTTAGATCTGACATAGTTTTCCTTGTGTAGGATGAAAGTTTTAAAACTGCTGTGTAGACCATATTACCAATGGTAGATGCTTACCATCTATTGAATTTGGATTGAATTTGTACCTTATGCTAATACAAAAAGAAGATAACTTTGATTTCCATCAACTCTTTGTGTTTGGGAACATCCTCTATCAACTCGGATCACAAATATCTATGATCTAGAAAAGTTCTGTGTTAGATATAAGTAGAGGTAAAGAAACCATTTGGGCCCAGTTTAAATTCAATTTCCTCATACTTCCTAGCCATATAACTATCTAAATCACTTTATAAAATGTTGTTGAGTCATTTTCAGTCATGTCCAACTCTTTGTGACCCCATTTGGGGTTTTCTTGGCAAAGATTCTAGAGTGGTTTGCCATTTCCTTCTCTAGCTCATTTTACAGTTGAGGAAACTGAGGCAAACAGGGTTAAGTGACTTGCCAGGGTCACACAGCTAGGAATTGTCTGAGGGCAGATTTGAACTCAAGAAAACAAGTCTTCCTGACTCCAGGCCCATCTCCCTATATGCTTCACCACCTAGCTAGCTGCCTTTGTAAGACTTAAAGTATCATAAATCTTCAGGTGGTACATTTGTTGTTACTGTTCTTGTTGTTATTATTGGTTTTTAGGCAGTGGTATGCTGGTAAATGTTTAACAACCAGCTCTTTGAAGTCACTCAACACACTTTTAAGCATAATCTGCATTATTAACATTTTCACTTTTATGATAAGTCTAGACAGTCCAAGAAACAAGCCCTAATTGGAGCATTTGCTATTCGTTGAGGTATGAATGTGCACACTGAAAATTTAACTACCAACTACAGCACATCCCTGAATTTTTAGAGGAAATAGAGAATCCTGGATGGAATGTTGGACTTGGAGTTATAAACACCTAGGTCCAGTTCCTGCATCTGAAATTTACTAGTATTATGTGTCTGGGCCAACCTCTGCCTGTAGGTAAGAAACATCTGGAAGGGGTATAAAGAGAAAGCTCTGTCAAACTTGACCCCTTCTTGTGGAATTATTGCTACCCAGTCCCAGGTCTTGCCTCTCCAGCCAGTTTGTAACTCTTGGTTCTTGTATCCTAGAATTTAACATGGTGTCTGGCAAGTCAGAAGCCCTCAATTACTGCTTGCTGACCAAGTGAAGCTGCTAACTCCCTCTGGCTCTTCAGCTAAACAACCCACAGTCCTGGTTATCTTTCTTAGCTTCTTTTCAGGTAGATTCTGCTTCCTTAGCTGTGTAGCCTCCTGGCTGTTCCGCACACAAGACACTCCATCTCTTGATTCCAGGCATTTACCTGCCTGGAGGGCTGTTCCTCCTCAACTCTGCCAACTGACTTCCCTGGCTTCCTTTAAGTCCCAACTAAAATGCCATCTTTCATAGGACACCTTCCCCAACCCCTCTAAACTTCAGTTCCTTCCTTCTGTTAGTCATTTCTTACTTATGCTATACAGAGCTTGCTTATGTATTTTTGTTTGCATGTTTTCTCTCCCCCCCCCACCTTTAAATTGTGAGCTCCTTAAGGGCAGGGACTGTGTTTTGCCTTTTTTATATTTCCAGCACTTAGCACAAGGCATGGCACATAGTAGGCACTTAATAAATGTATATTGATTCATTGCAAAAACTCCCCTAATGTCTCCTTCTCTACCTGCCCCACCCCCAGCTGTCCCAACTGGGAAGGCTTTGGTCAACTGACTTGACCCTTCTCAGCCTGTGGGTCCCAGGTCAAGGTCGGTGGAATGGAATAGCAGTAGCCACTACAGTACAGAGTACGGAAGCCGAGCTTCTCCCAAAACATGAGCAGACAGGTTGAAGTTTGTGTCTTTGGCTGCTACTTAGCATTTCAGAGCTCTCAAACCCGCAGTGCTCAGCTCCTAGGCAATGGGTCTGGGGAGAAGTAATTAATTCTGGTCGTGTCTGCCAGGATGGAGTGATTATGAGAACATGTCTGGAATTCCCCAGTTGTATAAAAATCCTGGCAGTACTTGGGCCATCAATCATAGCTGTCATAGACTGAAAGAAGCTATCTGGGTGGTTCTGGAATGGGGGAGGGGGATGTTTCTTTTCTTACAGGTGAGAGGGATTCCCTGGCAAAGACATTGAGTGTTACGGAGGGAGTAAGTATGCAGGCATTGTCCTAGGTCCTCATGGCTACCCTTTGATAAGGACTGAAATCAGCACTGATGCTTCCTCCCTATACAAAGTGTAAAAGTTTCCCTGGATACCCACCGGATGTTTGTTCAAGGATTGATGATGTCTCTCTAGCAGGTGTTTAGACATTCCTATTAGCATCACATCTGAGGACTATTGATTGAGTCCTTGCTAGTCATGCCCCTGAGCTAAGGCCCTGAACTGGACTTTTAAAATGGAAAGCAAGACAGCACGAGTACCAGAGCTCAGATGGCCAGAGAAGAACTGGTCAGACACAGACAGACTCCTGAAGCTTGCACAGCCCTTCAAGGAGCCACATCCACCGGAAGGATGACAAGGTTGCCTCATCTCCTGGGGCCATTCAGTTCCTAAGGAGACTACAAAAGGGTTGCACAAACTTCTCTCCAGGAAACTGGAGTCTGTCTGTGTCTGACCTGTTGTTGTTGTTGTTTTAGTAATCTGGCCTATGCCAGCTCTAGTTCTCTCCATTTATTTTTACGTGTCTTTTCTCATCTTTTGAAAATTCTAATCCAAGGACATAACTCAAATCATAACTCCATCAGTCATCCTCAAATGGATAGGAAGAAATTGTCTATGCTAGAACCAAGTCCTCATCTGTGGGTGGCAATGAGGACCCAGGACAATGCCTGGACACCCTGTCATACTTACACTCTCAGGGTGAAAAGAGAAGTAAAAGCAATGAAGGACAGCATAGCACAGTGGAATGAACACTAGATTCATAGTCATAGGGTTCAAATCCCAGCTCTATCAGATGTGACCTTAGGCAAGCCACTACCTCTCAGCCTTGGCTCCCTCCTCATCCATAAAATGAGAGATTTAGATTTAGAGCTATAGGGGATCTCAGAGGTCATCCAGACTAACCCCCTCATTTTACAGAAGGAAGAACTGGAACTTGAACCCAGAACCAGGGTGCCACACTCTTTTTGCTGCATCACAATCTAAGGTCTCTACCAGCTCCAAATCTATGGCCCTATAAATGATCTCTGAGGTCCCTTCTAGATTAAAGACTATGTGTCTTTGGCAATGGCTTTTTAGCTCCTCCTGGACATCTCTTTGCCATGCCACCTACTCTCTGGCCATTGTCCTCAATCCTGTCCTCCTCCCCCATTTTGGACTATGTCCCTATGTCTCCCAGCTCTGACAGGTGAACTTTTGTCTTATGTGGTCTGGAACCAGGCCCTCACACCACTTCCTTGGCCATATTCATGCCATCCCCCCATCCCCTTCCCTTCCAGCTTCCTTTTATATGCTGTATTTATATCCCCAGCAATTACCACAGTGCCTGGCACATAGTTAGGTGCTGAATACATCTTTATGTATCTAGTTGTCTAACTAGATTGCTCTTGTATTGGGATTATGAAAGATTCAGAAAGAGTGCTCATCCTTGGGAAATACTCTAGAGATTACTCCACTAGCATCCAAATGTCAGCTTCAGAGAAGAAATATATGGAGAGATCTTTCTATCCTCTCAGGCTCTAAGTGTCCCCTGGCTAGAGAAGCTAGTGATAGGCTAAATGGAAATGAGTGTAGCAACCAAAAGTGATTTTTAAATGGGTAACAGATCCACGAGAGCTCTGGATGGGACTGGAGCAGAGTGGACAGGTGGGGATGGGAGTGGATTTCTCACTCCAGTAAGCAATAGTCATTAGGAAAGTGAGTTGCCACTTATCTCTGAGTGTAGAGGTGAGTGTATTAGAGACTTACATTAGTCTCTAAGTATACAAGAGACTTAGACTATGTACTAGTCTCTCACATAGGCAGTGGTCATTAGGGAAACTGAGTTATTTGAGGTTAATTGCTTAAGTTTGGTTAAAGTATCCACTCGGGGCTTTCTCTATTCCAGATGAAAGAAGACAAGAATAGGAATAATGAAGATCGTATATGATAGATATAGATATGTGTGTGTGTGATAAATAATGGAACATTACATTTAACATATTTGGGTGGGCATATGTAGGTGATATATGTTTGTGTGTATGTGAACATGTGTACCTGTCTATGTATGTATAAATATAGAAGTTTTCTATGGGCTAGAAAGTGTGATTTCAAGGGCACAGGAAGTTCCCTTTATCTAAAAAAAAATCTTTCACTTTACTTACATTCCTTTTGACCGGAGATAAAGTCTTTATTCCTCAAATGAGAAGTGAAATTTAAAACACAAATAGACGTAGAAGAAGAACCTGTTGACTTGATTGATAAACCAATCAGTCCGAGAGAACTCTAACTCACTCTTGTTGGTTTCTCTCTCCCTCCCTTCTTTCCCCTTCCCACTTCACTCAAGGAAGAAATAATCAGGAATGGATAAAAAAAAAATCCAGAAAAGGGGATGGAGATAGGCAGCACTGGGGAGTCACTGGTTCTACTCCAGAGAAGTTTCAAGGCTTTCCTAGCACTTATTTTGTCCACAGCTCGGGATATAGGAAAATCTCTGAGAAGAATTATAACAGCCCCATTCCCCATCCCCTTTTGTCTACAAGGCCCCGTGCTAGGTTGTGTTGTTGTGGTTAATTAGCCCAAGAGGTAACAGGTGAAGGGATAAGCTTATCAATTAATTACCCTCCCCCTTCACCTCCCTACCCAGTGTTAAGGCAAATCCAAAACCTGCTTGGTAGAGAGAGGGTGGTTATTGGTAAAGGGAAGTGTGACTGGTTGAGATCTGGGCTCCCAGGGGAAGTAATGCATGGAATTGTCAGGATGCTGCCTTTCCTCCTCAGGGCCCATCTTTTCTTCCTCTGCCTTTCTCACTTGCTGAGTGGAGGGTTATCTCCTAGAGGAGCTGGCCCAGGCTCGTGCTCTGGGCTGTCTCATGGTTCCCCTACAGATGATAAGGTGAGTCTTCAAGGGGGTGGTTGCAAAGCTATTTGGTGGAGATCTAGTTATGAAGGGGAAGTCGGGGACTGGGAGAGTCCCATCTGTATTGAGTGTAGGGATAAACACAAAGGGTTGAAGGAACTGGGGTGGTTTATTCTGGAAAAGAAAAGACTGGGGTGGGGATGAGGGGAGAAATGTGACAGTTGTGTTCAAGTATTTGAAGAACTGTCTTGTGGAAGAATGATTAGACTTTTTCTGCTTGGCCTCAGAGGGTAGAACTGGGAGCAATGAGTGGGAATTACAAAGTGTGGACATATAAAAAAAACTCCTCAACAATTAGAACTATCCTCAAGTGGAATGGGCTGCTTTGGGAAACAGTGGGCTCCCTCAGTAAAGTACTTGAGCAAAAGTTAGATGATTGATTACCTGTCAGATGGGTGACAGTGGGAGGGGTGGGGGTCCCCTTTTAAGCAAGGGTTGAACTAGATGGGCACTGAGGTCGATTCCAACTTTAAAACTTGGTAGCTGTGTTAACCTCCATCCTCTTAGAATGGTAGCAAAGATCTAGTCTTAAAGCCTTAACTGAAAACACTTTTAAATGGTCCCCAAAATGTCAAGGCAAGGAGCAGAGGGGAAGAATGAAGGCAGGAAGGCTGCAGATTGAGAGGTGTCCCAGATTAGTGTTTTCATCATGGGTTTGGGAATAGCCCGTGGTATAACTACTTCTTCCACTGATAGCTCCCCCTCCCCCTTTCTTTCCTGCAGGCAAGAGAGCTTCAGGATCTCCAGCATGCTGGGCCTAGTAAGTATGGTTCTCTTAGACTGGGGTTTCTTAAACTGGGATCTATGGATCAATTTTAGGGGGAATCTGTGAATCTGGGTGGGAAAAATACATCTTTATTTCAATATATTTGGTTTTCTTTGTAATCCTGCCTATTTTCTTTTGGCTCTGATAGTGAGCACTTGTAATCCTACCTATTTTCTTTTGGCTCTGATAGTGAGCACTTCACTTATCTTGCCTGATCTCAGGACCACCATGTCATTTCTAGACCTCCCCCTGCCATGGTGCCATGGTTCCCCTCCTCTTCCAACTCTTGCTCTAAGAACAGCCATCAGCTCAGCAGTCCCACTCCTGCTAAGTATATGGCAATCAATTGCCCCAATACAACTACAGTTGCCATTCCCACCTTTCTGCATTAAAGTGTAATCAGCAGAAGCTGTCTTGCTTGTTTCTACTTGTATCCCCAGCATTTAGCACAGATCCTGGAATATAGTAAGTGCTTAATAAATATATTTTTATTCATAAATGCTAAAAAAAAAAGTTCTGGTAAGGGTCCATGACACACAAAAAGGATAAAGAATCCCTGCCTTAGATTTCTTCTCCAGTTGAGCAACCCCTGGGGAGCAGGTGATTTTTAGGGGATTGATTTGTTGTTAAAGAACCATATTTGTAACTTCTAAGAACTTTGAAACAAAGGCTTCCTTCTGGAAAACATATGTCCAGTAGGGGAGAAGCTACTTGCCAACCCTGACTACATTTCATTTCAGTCAAATGTTTAAGTGCATGGGAAGATCTGAAGGTGAAGGACATGGGTTAGAATTCTGGCTCTGCTACACATTACCTGCATGACCTTAGGCAAGTCATTTCTGGGCCTCAGTTACCTCATCTGTAAAATGAAGAGGCTCAAGTAGATTCCCACTCTAAAACCAAGATCCTGATGTGCTCTGTCTTCTAGAGGAGACAGAAGAATAGAGGATCGGATCCTTACCCCTCTGCCCCATATCAAGAGGGCGAAAGGCCAATCCATAGACTTGGTTCAGGGCTGGCTCCTGTCCAAAAGTTCATTCATCGTTACTGTAAAGGTGGGCTGTTCCCTGTGAAAGATGGAAGGGTCCATTGTCATCATTGGCTGACATCTACAGAAGTCAGTTACCCAGGAGACATTGTATAGCCATGTGTATACACACACACACACACACACACACACACACACACACACACGATACTTTTGAAGTCATAGCTGGTTTTCTATGTGTTTTTGTTGGACGTGTGAGAATAACCAGTGTGGAAACTCTCTCTGCAATTAAAGATTGGCATCTGCTCTGCAATCTAGTCAGATTTGTCTAATCAGACAAATGTGCCTGAGGCTCTGAAAGGTTGATTGACTTGTCCAAGGTCACACAGAACCCAATTTTCTTAACTCTTCTGCAGCTCTTCTCTAATACTGCCTCCCTTTTCACATAGGGAATGGGTATAAGCAATGCAAGGTAGAATTATGAATGGCTAAGTTTGAAACTCATACTAAGCTGTCTTCCTTTTGTATTAGCATATGGTAGCTTACAAATTCAATCTAAATTCAACAAACTGATGATAAACCTCTAACATAGGTAATATGATCTACACAGCTGTCTTAAAACTTTTGTCCTACACAAGGAAAATGAACACAAATCTGTATCAAATCTAACTTTGGGGCTTCACAATGAACAGAAAGGACTGAAAATTGGAGGTGGCGAGTTTCAAAGTCCTGATTTTCCTGCTTGTTATCCATACATCAGTCATTCGTAGACATATGAGATCATGGGATTTTATCGCCTGCTCCTTCCATGGATTTTGTCTTTCTTGAGATTTAGACAGTAAAAAGATATCAGTCTACATTGCATTTGGGAAATGGTACAGTGATTTTAATTGACCTAATGCTTTTCTCTGAAATAAAGGCTCATTTGGAAATATTCTTTCAGTGATATATAGCAATAAATAATTGAATACGACAATCTCCAAAAGATTAAAATTGAGTATTGCCCAAACGATGAGAGGCCTCCCACAAAGGGCAACTGCTGCTTTGCTTTACTTCAGGAAACCATGTTTTAGGAAGGACATTTATAAACTGGAGAAGAGAAAACTTGGCTCACGAGGAGGGGAGGACATGATGACAATCTTTCTTCTAGTATTCAAAGGGTCTTCATGGGGAAAAGATTGGACTTGTTCTGTTTGGCCCCAAAAGACGAGACCAGGAGCAATGAATGAGTCACAGAGAGATAGGTTTAGGTTTGATATAAGGAAAACGTCTAACAATGGACTACATTGAGAGGCAATAAATCCCTGGCCATGGTAGGTTATCAAGCAAGGTTTGATGACTACTTATTAAGGATGTTGCAGAGTCTTGTTTATGTATGGGTTTAGAGATGCTCTTTTGGTCATTTGGTAAGGGTTTCATTCAATGTTCACTTATTCTGTTACCTCTTTGTCTTCTTGATTTCTTATTTCTCTGCTGGGCCACACATGAAATGATCATAGGCTTGTAGATTTAGAGCTTAAAGGGCCCTTCAAAGTCATCTAGTCCAGCCAGCACCCTTATTTTATAGATGAAGAAACTGAGGCTGAGAGAAATGGTGACAGGTGATAAGTGCCAGAAGTGGAATTTTTTTACCCAGATGCTTTAACTGTAATTTCAGGGCTCTTTACAATGTACCAAACTGCCTTCCAATGTAAGAGCTTGTTCATTTGGAACATTAACATCTAAATGTTTCTTCTCATTAATTTTATCCTACCTCTTTCCCTTGCAGAGAGGAGATTATCTTGGACTGAAATTTATGTCCCTATGAGATGCTGTCATGCCATCTTGAAGAACAAAATGGGGGAATTTTCCATCCCAGTCATTCGGAACCGCCGTTTTAAGAACATCTGGTGTAACTGGACCATCTGGGCAGGCCCCAGAAACCACGTTATCATCTATGTCCAAGGGTTTAGGGGAAGCAAGGACTGTGAAGAAAACCCAGATAAAATTATATTTCAAGGGGTCGCCTCTGTTATAGAAAGCGCCGTAGCCTATGCTTGTCGGAACAAGAGAGTGCATGTCTATGCAACTCAGGCCTTGGCTGTGAATGTGGCATTGCTGTTGAAGAACTATGCCTGGAGTCATCGATACAAACACTTTAGAGGGAAATATTATATCTTCAGAGATCCCAGGGCAAAAGATTCAGAGACAGAGGACCCAACCTGTCAAGTGCCTTTTCAAAAGCCTTCCCACAAGCTTCCCTACAGTAGTACTGGACCAAAGGTTGAACCACCTGTTGTGATGTCTCAAGGGGGTGTAGAGATGACCTCTCCTGAACTAATGCCATCAAAAACTCTTCAACCAGAGAGATTTTCCACACAGGGAAGAGAGAAGGTTGAGTTTTCTGAGACCTCTTTGTCCTACTCTGAGAGGCTATCTGATAAATCCCATGCTCTTGGCATCATGGTTACAAAAACACTAAGTGTAGGTGACATAAGCCTTGGGGATGGATTGTTTTCCAAAACTCTAGGGGAAACTGCAGCCCTTGATACTAGATGGTTGGAAATTATAGAGGAAAAGAGCATTCTTTCCCCTGGATCTACTATGGATGGCTCAGCAGTTGACATAGAAATCCTTTATGGAAATACCCCTTACTTTGTGGGTCCTGAGCAATCAACTATAATGGAAGATTGGTCCATAAATATCAAACCAGTAAGAGCAGATAATCAAACCAACTACTTAATTCCTACTTCAGAGGAAGTGCCAATAAACATTAAGCCAACCCCCATAAGCCATTCAGTTTTTATTATTCTCTCAGGTTCAGAATTCCTCGAAAAGACTGACTGCTCTAAAAATGAGAAGATCCAGATAAGCCCTTCCCAGGTATGGAGCAGTCTGCCTGGAAGTGAACGGCAACCTTTTCTGCAGACTGAAGTCCTGGCTCATGAAGCAGTGCCTTTATCCACTGATTCTATGGGGAATCACATGTCTGGTATCTTCTTGGCCAGTGAAACTCAGTTGCCCCTCGAAGGTTCCCTGCACTTGATCCCTGTGGTTCCAACGGTTCATACAGCTGTGGATTTTTCTCTTCAGTCTTTTAAAGTTGGTGACTTACTGGCTGACCCACATTCAGGAGCTGTCATTTCCCTTGAAACCATACAAACTCCTAGTGGTGGTGGAATGATTTGGTTGAACTCTCAAGAAATCCTCAGTGAAGCAGGGTTCACCCTGATAGTGGCATCTCCTGATGGAATAGGATTAGTCCCTGAACCGTCTTCAACCATCTCCATTAGATCCACAGTGGTCAGAGCTGAGTTGCTTCTCCAGACAGCCAGATCACTTCCAGGGCCAGTAGAGACAGAAAGCTTGGCCAGCAGTGTGACCTCTGAAGAGGGCCCCAGTAGGCATGAAGTGAGTCTTTCTGAAACAGATTTTAAGTTTGTACTTGGTCAAGAGAGGTCTCCCCCCTTTACCACTTACCAAGAAAGTCTATTTGATGCTGAGGTGACCCCAACTTCTCCTCAAGTGGCTATGTCTGAAATTGTTCCTGAGTGGGCTCTCCAAAATATTCCAGCACCCATTCCCTCAGCCTACCACAATGAACAAGTGGCAACTGAGCAGTCTTTGGAGATCACTTTGGCCTTAACCTCAGAAGCCATGCTAAAAACCAAGTGGCCTTCTGTGACCCCAGTTAAGACTAGAGCTGAGATAGACTCCGTGCTTATTGTTCAAAGTATAACCACACCTTTTGCTTCAGTGAATCATGAAGAGAGCATGGTGGGTACTATGTTCTTTGTTGAGATCCCCTCGAGCCACCATTCAGACTTCTCTAAGAGCAACATGGAGGATCATGTCTTCAATCCAGCAGCAGTATCTCTTGCCTTCCTGCCCACTCCTACTCTGAGCATAAATGAAGGTGAGCTTACTATTAGCAGTCCCTTAAGTCACTGCTGGGGTGATATAGGGGAAGTGTTTACAAGCATGGGAAAAACTGAACCTCTTGCCTTTTTCACTTCGAGGAATGTGGATCTTACTACCTCTGTGTCAAGTCCTAGAAGTCTTACAATTGGCTTAGAGAATCTCTTAGACCTGTTACAAGGTGAACACTTTATTGAAAAAGAAACACAGAGTGTCTCTCAACTAGTTCCTAAGGGCAAGCTTTCACAAGGTAGGGATGCTTCTTCAGAAAGTGAAATTCCCATAGTAACTAAGACTTATTATAAAATGACTCCCCTGTCAACTCTGCAATGGGCCCTTAGCAGGACCATGACTCTATCTTGGGAGCTTGATGAAATGCAGAATATTCAGCCCTCAAAGAAGGATGCTACGCTGAATGAAAGCAACTCTTGGAAATTCTCCAACTCCCTTGGAAGGGACCAGAAAGTCACCAAATTCGACGGTACATCTTTGCTCCCTAGTGTTCCAACAGTGTCCTTGGGTAGGCAGGATCAAACTGGGGACCTTTTTGCAGTCTCTTCATCCCTGCCTCTCTGGTATGAGGATGTAAACCCTTTGGAGGCCAAAAGGCTTCAAGACTCCTCTGGTAAGCCTTTGATTTTGTTTTTGTCTTGTGTCCAGTTAAACTTGGTCATTCTTCTAACCCTACAGAAAGGAGTTTCAACAAGCAACCCTTTTTAAGATAGCTAAGCCCTTGTAGTGTTCAAACTGAGCACCTTGTATAAGACTCTAGATAGTAAAGAGAAAAGATACCAACCAGGTTTCCATATTCCTTAGCATTTCTGCTTTAACCTTCCAGCTGAATCAGGGGTTCTTCACCTAGATTTCGTGGACCTTTTGGCTCACAGATAGATTTCAGAGAGTTTGTAAACTTGTATAGGAAAAAAGTTACATCTTTGTTTTTACTGACCTCTGATTAAAATTTAGCATTTCTTCAATTAGCTAAAAATGTTATTCTGAGGTGTACCTATGCTATAATGTGTTAACAAATGGAACACACACACAGATTTAAAAAACTCAAATCTCAGTGGTCTTTGGTATCAGATGGCACTTATGTTTGGTATAGATTTTGAACTGAGCCCAATGGTGCTTTACAGACTTCCAATTTTCCTCAAGACTAATCATGTGGGAAGACAGTGAGGTTGATCTTTAAAAATGTGGAGCCCAGGTTGTGAGTCCTAGAAACAAATGGAATGAGATGTGAGTGGTTGAGAGAAATAGAGAATTTGTATTTACTGGAAGAGACAGAGATAAGGAGGACAGAAAATGATGCTGAGTCAGGGGAGGAATTTTTTTTAGGAGAATCTCATTGTCCCAATTTGACTCCAAGGCTCCCAATTGGAGTACTATGCTATGATGCTCCAAAGGTTGACCAAGAGCTGTCTGCTGTAAGAAGTCATGTAGATCCCCTCATTTCAAGTCAATGGACCCAAATGTAACTTTGAGAGTCTTATTATATTAAGATATCTTCACTGACTTAACTTTTTGGTTTTCACCTTACTCCCTCCCCCAACCCCCACAGAGGTGCTCACCTCAACCAGTATGGTGGTCTGTATCCCCATAAGAAGGTGCCATGTGGTTTTGAAAGATACCTTTGGAACTTTTTCATTGCCAAAGAACCTAAACAGTCATTGGCCAAACAGCTGTTGTAACTGGACTATCTGGGCAGGGTCCAAGAAACACATTGTTGTTTACATCAAAGGATTTGAGGGGCCTGAGAACTGTGACCAAAACCAGGACAAAATCATTTTTCAAGGGGTCTCATCAAGTGTGGAAAGGAAAACCTTCTATGCATGTAGAAGGCAAGGTACTTTGATTTTTGCTACTCAAGCCGTGGCTGTCCATATAGTGTTTCTCTTTGTGAGGTCTTATCCTAGACACATCCCATCTTTTGAAGGCCAGTATTTTATCTTCACAGACCCGGAGAGACAAGTCCCTCCTAAACCTGCCATTGATTCTTCCTTAGCAACTTCCCAGAGACTCAGAAAGAGGATTCTAAGTAGCATGGGTTCTCATCCTGAGCTAGTAACAAAGCTGAAGCCTGGGAGCTTTCCAAACCTGAACACTATCTATGTGGGTCTGGGGAACAAAAGCCAAATGGTGACTGAGACATTGATGCCAAAGAACGAGGGGCTAAAGGAGGGAGAAGGAAAGGCTCTTGAATGGACGTATCTACATAGCCTCCTTCCTCTGATTCCTGCTAAAGGGCCATCGATAAGGAACAAAAACTCACCACCCAACTTGCTTAGGCAGGAGCTCAGCAGGCCAACAGAGACTATAAAAAATTCAGCTGGAAGGGACTCTGTGGTGTCATTCAGGATGTCATCAATCCCAGTTACTTCCTATGGGAACAAACCAGGAAATAAAGCTTCTCAAGATAGCTTGCCTGTGGACTCATTGATCATTCACCCTCATTGGCTTTCCAAGACTTTCCCCTTGACAGAGCGGCTTCCGAAACCCGTAGGCATTTCTGACTGGCTTCTTCCCTCTGCCAGTGTTCCAGAACAGAGACTTCCTTGGATTGCAGCTAAAAAAGAAAAGCTCGCATGGCAAGAGCACCTTGTTATTACTAAACCTTCCCACCTTTATTCATCCTTGACTGCTCAGAGTATAAGGAAATTCCAGGATGCTGTGCGTAATCATGATCATCTCCACCAGAGTTTCAGCCATGTGATGCTGGTTAAAGGAAAGAATTTTCTAGAAATAAGGCCTGGAGTTGATAAGTCTGTCACCAGTCCTTCAAATATCCCTAAAAAAGAACTATTCTCAAATCTCCTGTTCAATGAAGAACAGGTAGCACCAGAATGCAAAGAGAGAGGTGGAGAAACCTTCCCAACAAGGAATGAGGCGAGCAGGGGAGACAGCTTGGATCCAGCTCTGTCTAGCACTTTGGGAAATATCAGACCTCTCAATGAGGAGCATCTAGATCTGGAAAGCCCTAGGGGAGTGACAACCTCCAATGGATTTGTGTGGGATTCTCTATCTCCCGGCAGCCTGACTGAGCTCTCCCCTTCCTTGAAGACCCCTGGCACTGCCCAGAGCTTCCTCAGAGAAGTCACAGGTGCTGTCCATCCGAGCACTGGTGCTGCCCACTCGAGTGCTCCAACGTCTAACTTCAAAGCCAAGGATGATTTGCAGGCCAAAGCCATGGTGTCTTTAATCTCTGGTCAAGTGTGGAAGAACATGACTGCTGATGGAGTCTTGGTTTTAACCCCAGGATATGCTGGTAGGGTGAATATACTATGTGTCAACTTACTTTTATTTGGGGGACAGAGAGGTGGGACAATTGATTATTGAGAACACAAGTTCTTGGAGGTATAGGTAAGTGTCTATAGAACTTTTAAACCTAGTAGTTTGTTCGCATCATCCTTCCGTCTGCAGAATGTTCAGGCCCAACCACAGGCAGAACTCACTCTACAATGTGTCTTGGGGGTTGTTCTTTCTTTTAGAAATCTCCTCATCTGTTCTACATACAGAGATCCTATAATACATCAAGTCATGCTTTTTGCCTCCTGGTCCTTCCTTCATCAACATTTATCTATTTTCTGCCCCCTTTCCCTTAGGGCACCTTCTCTGCTTTCCAGATAAACTGATAAAGTAAAACAAAGTGGTTTTGGCACTCTGTTACTTTGCTCCCCCTTACCACCCTCAGGGAAAACTTATGTGTTAACACGCACCTTCTGGATAGAAGCCATAGCCCAATGGAGCCCAGCCATATCTGGACAACTTTGCCCTGATCAATGTTGTTTTTACAACTTTTATGACATTAAGACATTTATAACCAAACTCCACCACAGAGCTCGATCCCCTACTATCACGCTGGTAGCCTGAGATCAGCCCAACTCCACTTAGCCTGCTTTCATCTTCCATCTAACTCCTGAGACATGCTTGCCTCCAGCTTACTTCTTTTCCCATGGGACTAGTTTCTCCCCGAATCAGTTTCACCTGATATTGTGCTTTTGGAGAACCAAGATGTTCAGAGTATCCCCAGGGGTGTTCTGGAATTAGCTCATACTGGGCTTGTCATTCTTATTGTTGTCCAGTCACGTCCAACTCTATGTGACCCTGTGGACTTCTGTTTTCTTGGAAAAGATACTGGAGTGGTTTGCCATTTCCTCTTCTAGTGTGTCCCCATTTTACAGATGGGGAACTGAGGCAAATAGAGGTTAAGTGACTTGCCCAAGGTCACACAGCTGGTAAGTGTCTGAGACTGGATTTGAGCTCAGGTCTTCCTGACTCCAGGCCAATGTTCTATCCATTGTACCACCTAGCTGCTACTGGCTGGTGTTGTTGGGTCATTTTCAGTCATGTCTGACTTTTTATGATCTCATTTGGGGTTTTATTGGCAAAGATATTAGAGTGATTTGCAATTTCCTTTTCCAGCTCATTTGACAGATGAGGAAACTGAGGCAAACAGGGTGAAGTGACTTGCCCAGGGTCACACAGCCAGATTTGAACTTAGGGAGATGTCTTCCAGACTCCAGGTCCAGTGCTCTATCCATTGGGCTACCTAGCTAGAGAGCCAATCATTAAATTTTCATTGTGAGCATTTATGCCTCTGACATCAGCAAATGCTGCATTCAAGGCTTGAGTTAATGTTTTATTAATTGTCTTGACTTAGGAAAGTGATGGAGAAATTTTCAGTAATTCAGATTAAACTGAAAAGTGTGTTCTGAGTACTTTTTTTTTGTTTTTTGGCAGAGAGTCAGATGTTAAACATTTCCCAACACACCCCTGATATCTATAACTGTATTTTAGCTATTGTAGAAAGCTAGTGGGAGAGAGTTTTAAAGGAATAGTTTCTCAGATTGTACCATAGACATAGGACCTGATCTCATGCTTTTGTATTTATCTTCTAAGCCCTTTAAAAAAGTACCGGATTTAACATCCTGCCTGTCTAAAATTGGACACTTGTCCCACAAACCCATACTTTGTAGGGAATGGATTAAGAACAGGAAGAGAATGGTGGGACAGCAGATAACTTACTTTGGAAGCTTCATTTTTAAATTGAACCTTATGAATGTGGAGGAGAAGGACCTTGCCTTTCTCTGATTAACAAATGAGAAAGAGAACTCGGTAAGCCTCCTTGATTACTCCTAGAAGCAACATGGTTATCCTATACCAGTTGGGCTTGCTGTGTGGGTGTTATTTTCCCACACCTCACATGGCAGGAGAACTGAATTACAGGAACTTGGTAACTTTTTAAATAAGTAATGACTATTCATGGCCTGGCTGGCCTGGGAACCATGACTAACTTTGGCTAAAGAGCAGCTGTTCTGATGAGAAACTGTTTATGGGATTTTGTATATGCACAACCCTACTATATAGCTCAGCAGGCTGGGACCAGTTATACCAAATTAATAAAGGTTTCTCCTCACTTCTGATGTGATTAATAGTAGGGCTGTGCCGAAAACTTCTACCACCACCACCACCCTTCCCACACTCCCACATTCTTCCTGGGCAGGGTTAATGACTAGCAGTTGTGGTAATGTTAGCAGCCTATTGCTCCCCTCCCTCCTACCCACTCCAGGTTTAATTGTATTTATTACTTTTTCATACTCCCCCTCCGATAGTGGTAGTTTTTAGCAGAGATCAAGTGCTGGGATTGCACCATACCTTTGGCAGAGTGGGAATGTAATAGGTCTCTCTCTAGAAATTGTCATGTTCTTGGGGTCCCATTGGGCAGTGGCTCTGAGCTGGAGCCTATATAGCTCTGAAAGCTTTCATTTTTTTTCTACAATAAATTAAGGAAATAGGTCAAGGGCCTGTGATTTCATTGGCCCTGGAGCTTGCTTCCTCTTACAGCTGCAAATCCAAGCACATAAATAAATTAGATCAGCTTTAGGAAGGTTCAGAGAGGTTAATTGACTTAACCTTGATTACACAGCTATTTAGGGTCAGAGGCAGAATTTGAACCTAGCTCTTCTAGTCTCCAAGTTGAGCACGTCATCCGCCTAGCCATGCTGCCTTTTCTCTTACAATAAACCTAATTAAAATCCAATTGGATATTTGAGTGGCAGGGAAAGAAATTGGTGATTACATTAGGTGGGTCACGGAGTGTGCTGGAGCCAGTTGGAAGATGCCATTATTAAATATTCAGGTTGAGTATTTGCACCTTTAAAAATCAGAAAACATTACAAATCATGGCTTGATTTATTGCTCATTGTCTAGATATTTGAAAGCAATGGAGAAGATGTTTATAATACAGATTTAACCTTGTGCTGTGCTTCTTTCTTTCTTTCTTTATTTTGTGGAGAACTGGTTCTTAAACATTTACCAGCATGCTGCTGGTCTAGAGGCAGGGGTCTATGAAACTATTTTAATTAGAAAGTAATTTCTATTAGAAATTAGAACTCTAATTTCAATTAGAAAGTTATTGGTTTGCTTTGTAATTTAATGTATTGTATGCATTTAAAAGCATTATTCTGAGAAGAGGTGCTTGATACAAGAGAAGTTAAGACTCCCTGGTCTAGGAAGAAAAGGGGGGAAAAAAAAGGTTAGAAGGGATTTTAAGTACAAGGTAGGAGATACGACTAGACAGAAGTCTATCTGAAATAGACCTGGGATCTCAGTGAGCTGAAAGCTCAGTACAAGAATAATGAGGTAAGGCATCCATCTCCCTCCATTCTCCTTCCTCTCCCCAAGAACCTTTAGTAGATTTCAGACTGTGTTGAGGGCCGTGATATCCAAAACTAGGGAAGCAATAGTCCCCCTCTCCTCTGTACTATTCAGACTGCATTTGAGGTATCTGGCTCCATTTTGGACAACACTGTCTAGGGAAGGATATTGACAAGTCAAATATTACTTAGAGAATGATGACCAGGCTAGGGAAGATCCTTGAAATCATTCCATAATGAGAAGAATCAGTTGAAGGAACTGGTACATTTAGCCAAAAGAGAAAACTTGGAGGAAACATGATTGTTGTCTTCAGTTATTTGAAGGGCTGTTTCATGGAAAAGGAATTAGTCTTGTTCTACTTGGCCCCAGAGGGCAGAACTAAGGAGCAGTAAGTAGATGTTTCAAAGAGACACATTTGGCATTGATGTAAGGAAAAATGTCTTAGTGATTAGAGCTCTCTAAAAGTAGAGGGGGCTGCCTGAGAGGTAGTTATTTGGTATGCTGTCATATTCTTGTTCAGGCATGGATTAGATTGGATGGCCCCTAAAGGGCCCTTCCAACTCTGTGACTCTTTAACAAAGTAATACTTTGTACCTGATATCTTCGGAGATAAAGTAAACTATGAACGGGCCTTGCAGGGCCATCTTATTCAAACTCTGTAGCTTTGAGACCTTGACTCCTGGTTTTCATCTTTCAGTGGCTTGGATGGGCCATGAGGGTCCTTGATTTTCTATCCTTGCCTGAAGTTCCAGTTGCCTTCACTATCCACTTTACTACTTTCTCAAGGGTCTTTATCTAATAACTCTGAACTCGGTCAATTATGTATATGATGGGAAAAGCTAAAGGCTTCTAAGAATTGCAACTTACTCTATAACCTTGAGCAAATCATTAACCCATCTAATTCCCAGTCTTTATGAACAAAATGGAGGCAATGGTTGCCTCATAGGGAAGTAAGCAAATCAAATGATATGTTTTGGATGGCTAGGTGACCCTGGACTCAGAAAGAAAGAATAGGAAGTTAGAAAGAATAGATAGAAAGAATAAGTTTCAAATCCTGTTTCAGATACTGTCTGTGTCTGTGCTGTTGGGTATCATATGCCTTCAGCTTCCTCATCTGTAAAATGGGGATGTTAACAGCATCTACTTCCCAAGGTCGTTGTGAGGATCCAATGAGAAATCAAGTACTTTTCAAGTCTTAAATTGGTACATAAGTGTTAGGTGCTGCTGCTAGTGCTCCATGTAAAAATGCTTCAAGGGGCAGCTAGGTGGATAGAGCACTGGCCCTGGATTCAGAAGGACCTGAGTTCAAATCCAGCCTCAGACACATAACACTTACTAGCTATGTGACCCTGGGCAAGTCACTTAACCCCATTGCCTAGCCAAAAAAATTTTTTTTTCAACAAAAAAAGAAAAAAAATGCTTTGAATTGGCTCTAGCAATCCTTTTTTAAAGGGACTGCCATAAATAAGCCTAGCACTATACTGGGTAACTGGCAAAAACCTTTAGGTAAGAGAGCAAGTCTCAGGGTCTTATTCTAGTGAGGGAATATAGCACTAGGGAATAAAATGTCATTAATGAAGTCCTGAATTTAGAGTCAGAAGACCTGAGTTTAAATAGTGGCACTGCTATAACTTGGTCATACAACATGAGCAAATCATTTAACCTCACTGGGCCTCGGTTTCCCATCTGATAAGATGAAGGAGTTGCGTAGAGATCCTAACGGTCCTTTCAGCTCTGAATCTATAGTATGGGAATGACGATATCTCATGAAGCAGTTTGGTGCTAAGGTGGATAGTGCCTTGGAATCCTAACTCTCTCACTCACTAACTGTGTGACCCCCAAGCAAATCACTTAGCTTCCTTCTGCCTCAGCATCCTCATCTGTAAAATTTCAATAATTAATAATAAACCCTATTTCAGGGATCAAATGGGATTATATCTATATATATACATACATATATCCTATTATATATATATATAATCCTATTATATATATGATCCCACATATGTAATATTTTATAAAACTTCAAATACCATATAAATGTTAGCTGTTATCATGACTGCATATAGAGGTCCAAATAAAGTATTATGTGAAGTCTAAAGGGAGAAAGGTTATATGTAGGGTTTTCCTGCCAAACGTATGATACAAATGTGTGTTGTTAGTATACAGTTATGTTTGAAAAGGAAATTCAATGTATTCCTTAGCTAGGGGGCTGCTGAGGGGATTGGTAGAGGGGAGTGAGAACTATGTAGGAATTATTCCCAGCAGGCATAAAGTATCCTTCATCCTAATGTGTGATTAATGGGAAACAGGTGTGCTAAGCCCTGTCTGCTTGTAGAACAAGAATATAAAACTATTATTACTCCTGTTGTTCATTCTTACCTCTTTTTTACTCTCTATCCTTGTCACTCAATGTAGATGCAGAAGCAACCTCCCCATCTTTTGGAAATGAGTCTGTCTTAGAGTTCCAACATTATCCAGGAGGTAAGATTTCAAAGGCAAGAAGGACACTTCTGTGATATTGAGGGTCTGATTGGGACTGAAACTCCACACTCACTTGTTATACTGTGGCCCAGTCAGTGAAAAAAGTTGCTGTTGGCCTATCTATGGCATAAAGCAGTCTTAACTGGGGCAGGGTGATTGGGCCACAGTGGCTTTGAAATTTAAAGGATACCAACAAATCTGCATTATTAAGACTTTCTTAAGTCTAGGCAATCAACAAAACAAAAAAGCAAGCTTTGATTTCTCCCATTGCTAATTCTGACATGTAAATGCTTGCACTGAAATTCTAACAATTCAAAAGCAAAAGGGTTAGACACCTCTGATAACAACACTTGTGTTTCCTTAGCAGAAATATCTGAATTTAGCACCTCGTTATCAGGAATAGCTATTTAATATAGGAAGCTTCCAGCTTCTCCCCCCACCTCCACTCCCCCACCATGGTAGCATAGCAAGTGTGTTCTTGTCCAAGCCTGCCTTGCTCTTCCCACCTACTTAACCACCCCCCAGACAGCAGCCTCTGGTGCCCTGGAGTTTCTGTGTCCCTGCCATGGAACAGTAGACTATATTCTCTCCCAATTAAAGTGAGTTCATGTCCTAAGGCCTCTCTCCTTCACCCCACCTCACCTTGTTTGGGGTTCCAGAAAGTTGGTTACTGCTCTGGTATAAAGTAATCTTAAACTGGTTATTCTAGAAGATTAATCACATGAGAACTCTCCATGGTAACATACCACAAACTTCTAAAATCTAAGTTCTCTATAATTTCTTAGTGGATCATGCCTTATTTTTCTGACTTAGATTAAATAACCATAGATGTAAAGTCATCAGTTCCCCCAGGGTCATAACCCAAAGTGTTTTCTTAATGTGAAGTCTGCATCTAATCACAGGTTCCTCTAAAGGGCTTGGGGCTGGGATGGGGATGAGGGTGGGGGTGGGAATTAGGACTGAGACATTTTTGGTATATTTTATGTCTGGCAGATATCCTATATGAAGTAATTGTTGAAATGGAATGCCCGGTAGAGACCCCATACAATACCTCTGAAGTGGAGAAAGTCTTGGCAGACTCACTTAAGCAAGAGGTAAGATGGCTAAGGATGGGGCTGATAGCAGAAAATCTGATTATTAAGTAAACCTTCCAATGCTTGTTAAATTACCATGTAAGCATCTACCTAGTGTTTTTTTTAATTGTTCAGTTGTTTCAGTCATATCCTACTCTTTGTTGACTCCATGTGGGGTTTTCTTGGCAAAGAAACTGTAGTGGTTTGTCATTTTCTTCTCCAGCTCATTTTACTGATGAGGAAACGGATGCAAAAAGACTTTAGTGACTTGCTCAAGATCACTCAACTAGTAATTGTCTGAGGCTGGATTTGAACTCGGGTCTTCCTGACTCCAGGCACTGTACTCTATCCACTGTGCCACCTAGCTGCCCTGGCTACCTATATTGTGAGCGCGCGCGCGCGCGCGTGTGTGTGTGTGTGTGTGTGTGTGTGTATATCCTTGTGTGGGAAGAAGAAGCTAAGTGCCATCAAACCATTTTGAGGACTCCCAGCATATGACTTAGGCACTAGCAAAAGGCCTGCAAACAGTCTTCTGACTGCCTGGTTATGGCCCCAACTCTATCCTTTAGTCTAGAAGCCGCTTCCACTAAGGGAGGTTACAGACTGGAGGCTGCCAGAACAAGTGGTAAGTATACAGTACTGCGCTGCCGTGGGTCAGACAATAATCATAGCTAGAATTTGTACAGGGATTTCAGTTTTGCGAGACACTTTGCTATGAAGATCAAATGAGATAATATTTACAATCTGGAAGGTAGGGGCTATTATTCTCCCCATTTTACAGTTGAGGCAGACAACAGCTAAGTGATTTACCCATGGTCACACATTTACTAAGTAGCTGAGGCTGAATTTGAACCTATGTCTTCCAGACTCCAGGCCTACGGTTCTATCCACTATGCCACCTTCCTACCTCAGTAGGAGAGTTGGCAAAACAGATATATTATTTGTTTAAAAACAGATAAAGAATAGGTTAGAGATTTTAGGGGAAAGAGCTTGAAAATGTATTTCCTTTTTCTTTTTAAGAAGGAAATTCTGATATAAATATTTCAAATGTGATATAAATCTACTAATGTATTATGAAAAATTGAGATTTGTGTTGCTCTTTCATGGCAAAGCTTTGAATCATCAAATTACCAAGATTTTAGGTGAAAGCATGTTAATTAAAATTATTTAGATAACTGCTTAGAATCTCCAATAACTATCATAGCCTCTGAAACTGGTTGACTTAATGACCACCTTTTTGAAGAGGCAACATTATCCCAACAAGATTAACCAGCCATATTTTTTAAAAAAACAATAGTAATGGAGTCAAGTAGCCACTTTTATCCCTTTAAGGATGCTAGGAAAAGAGACTACTTAGTGATAAAAGCATAGAGATATGACCATTGCACCCTGGGATCTTTGAATATGGCCTCTAAAAGTGGCTACTTTTGGTAGATATGTCCCTTTTTACTCTAGAATAAGCAGCTGTGGGAAAGAGCAAGGTTTTGGGTAAGGATGGATTCATTAAAAGCACATCTCTGGCCCCTCTTTTCAGATTGGGGAAAATCTAGGCCACTTTTCACCTGAAGCAGATGAATTCAAACTAACTAGAATTAAAAGGTAAGTGTAGGGTACTGGATCTCCAACTTTGTTAGTCATGGATTTATTCAAGATGGTATTACCATAATGATTTTCCTCTTTGGAAAAAAAATAAATGAGGTGTTATTTGCTGCTGTAATGCATGATTATTGTTTACCTGCTATAAAAGTGAACTCATAAAAACCAGCTCTGAAAACTGGACAGGATCAGGCAGGAGCTAAGTTTCTGATAACTTTTCCCCCTCCTTGTGGGTGTTAGAGAGGAAGGGCTGAGAATAAATTAAATGAGCCTGAGGCAAGGAGATATGCTACTACTAATGTCCTGGGTAGAGTATATTAACTTCTTTCCTGGCATTCCAATACGAATGATAAAAAATAAAGTTACTAACATAAAAACCATAGAATTTAATGTACTTTTCCATGTTGCTTACTAGAAAAATAGAGTTAAATCTAAAACAGCCAGGAAAATAGATTCCCAAAAACATCATACATGTATTGAATTAATTTTTTGTTTGTTTTCCCTTTATCATAAAACTTTATTCTCTAACTAGAGGGTTTTTTTTCTTCCTCCATAATACTTGTAGAAAAGATACCTCAAATGTCATGTTCGTTTTCTGGCTGCATCTGAGATCTAGAGGGAGAACTATGTCAGACGCTCTGATGTCCCAATTAGGAGCATCTGAGAGCAGTGTACTGCATCCTCAATTAAGAATTCTCATCAGAGACACAGTAGAAGCTCTTCAACTTCAGCTGAAATCTATCTCCATTCACGGTATAGGCCTGTTGGGTACCAGTAACAGTTTAATCTTCTTTAAAAAATAGAATTGTGTTGGTATCTTTTGTTTTTTACGTTGACTAGATTTCTTCTGTGTTCCTCACTCCCAGAGAGCCATCCACTGATCAATACATAAAAAAATCTGGTATATGCAGTATTTCATATCTGTGCCCACTCTGCAGGCTCTGCAGAGGATGGGGGGGAGAGGGGACGGTGACAGTTTAACCTTTTTCGTCTTTCTTTTTATTTATTTTGATTTATCAACAATCACTTCCATAAGCTTTTGAGTTTTCAGATTTTTCTCCACCTCCCTCCCCAATCTGATATAGGCTCTACATATACATTCCTATTAAACATATTTTCACATTAGTCATTGTTGTAAGGAAGAATTAGAACCAATAGAAGGAACCACAAGAAAGAGGAAACAAAACTCAACAGAAGAAAAAGAATAGCAAATAGTATGCTTCGATATGCATTCAAACTCCATGGTTCTTTCTTTGGATGTGGATAGCCTTTTCCATCATGAGGCCTTTGGAGATGTCTTAGATCCTTGCATTGCTGATAAGAGCTAAGTCTATCAAAGTTAGTCATCGAACAACGTGGCCGTTACTGTGTACAGCGTTCTTCTGGTTCTGCTGACTTCATTTGACATGTGACGGTTTAATCTTAATGGTGTTTCTTAGAGTTCGCATGATCTAACATCAGGTGCTTTGTCACAAATGGGCAGATTCCCTTGGCATCAGGCTATAATGCATCCCTGAATAGCAGATGATTCCCTGTACCCCTTTTCATCCCTTTAACTGTTGGAGGGGGGTGATAAAGTACATCTAGACCACTAGACAGATTACCAGCTGTCTTCTGGTGTTATTTGACACTAATCTTTTTCTCTTAGATGTGAATGAATGTGAAATTGGCCTAGAACAATGTGGTGAAGGGGCTGAATGCTTCAATGGAGTTGGTACTTACATATGTCATTGCAAAGAAGACTATGAGGCTCGTTCCTCCATGCAGATCGGTACTCTGTGTGTCCATATCCCGCGCTCAGGTATTGTAGAGTCGGTGCCTTTTATGGTGCATACTATTTCTATGGAAACCAAAGAGACCCCAACATAAATTAGTTGTAAGTCCTAAGATCATGATTTTAGAGCTGGAAGGGACCTTGGAACACCTAGTCACAGTTTCATTTTATCTATAGTTAATTTTTTTAAAATTTGTCAATCAACAAGCATTTATTAAGTACTTAACTATGTGGTGGGCATAATAATAATTTTTTTTTATATTACTGGTACTTCTCCACCATAGAAACCTCCTTTATAACATAACTAAACAAAATAAGTCTTTATCGTGACTGATAAAGATGGAATCATGCTTTACAGCAAGTCCTCTGAGTTCAAGGTTGGTCCTTGCATTAATCAGAGTTCTGAAGACTTTCAATGTTTTCCTTTATTGTAGTCACTGAAGTATTTACAGATGAGGGAACTGAGTCCCAGAAAGGCAAACTTCTCTAAGGTCATAATAGATAGTAAACGGCAGAGTCGGTATTGGACCCACATTTTCTGGCTCCCAAGGTCCCAATCCCCAGTGTTGCTGCTTATCATGAAAGTACTTTGTTATATAAATGCTGACAAATCTGTTTCATTTCTCTTTTGTTTGTTCTACTTCTGGCTTTATCCTTAAGTGCTTATGGGATCATAGTTGGTTCTGAGGCAGGCTTTCTATAAATTCTTTCTCCGCCATACTGCACTGTTTAGGGAGACAACAATGCCAGTAATTTTCCATCATTCCCCTCCATTTTGAAAATTGAGTTTATGGTTTTCACATAGCTCTGATGTTATAGCTGGAGCAGCACAGGCCAGAGGGAACTCTGAGTTATTAATAAGCAACTTTCTCTGAATTTCTCTGAAGTATGGTAATTACGGACCAAATAACTACCTGACTCAGTCTAAGTTGGAATATTTTACAAGCTAATGATTGGTTTAATTAGTATAGCCATGCCTTTTATCTGCCATGTTGCCTATGAGAGATTTCATTCTATCCATCCCAATGAGATCTCTAACTTAGAAACCCAGATTTGGAGTATGTCCATAGGGAATGATAATCTTAATGTTAATGAGAGTTCATGAAAGCATCTGTTAACTTGAGCATTAGGCTGTTCACCACCTGCTATACATCTCTCTACAAAGGATTATCATTTTAGCCCTTGATAACTAGACACATCCTCTCCAAATATGAACTATCAAAGTTAATGTTGGATGGCATCCCTCAGGTAGAAACGTAATCTAGTCATCCAAGAAATTTTAAGGTGCCATACATAAGCAAACATCGAAAGCAGAATCTTGAGTCAATTAATCAAAAAGTACATATTAAGTGTCTAGTATTTAAGTTAGGAACTACATGTGCAAAGATATAAAAGAAATAGTTGCTCCCTCCAGAAGTCTCTATTCTAGAGGGACAGACAGGGCAGCTGAGCTCTAGCAGTCACCTAGGTTAAGGTTTAATAAGTTGTTTCAGATGTCATTAGGAAGATAAAGGGAAGACCAGATTTCTTGGTGAGTGAGGTAATAGTTTTCACTTGTTATTGACCATTGTGGTTTAGGCTCTGAATCAGAAACCGTGCTGAATGGCTTACCTGGATCTCATGTTACTGTGTGGCCCTGGCCAAAAGCCATCTTGAAAAAGACCATTTCATCACTTCTAGAAGCCAGGGATTAGCCCCTACCTTTTGTCTTTTTGCTTTGACTTTTAGGAAGAAGCCAGTAATCAGCTAACCTCGGGGTCTTAGCTCAGGAAAATGAAACCTTATTCTCTAATTCCCTCCTTAACTAAGATCTGAGGCCTGGAAAACTCTCAAGTATGTGACTAAAATCACTTCAGCTATTTCTCCTGCCTGTTGAATTGTGTACGACACACATCCGAGGAATGACCCCCCCTCCCCTGTTAAAAATGTACTTTGAAATCAAAATTAGGTAAGACAAAACAATAATTTTCTTCTCTCTTTCAGGAGTTGGATTTTCTTTCAATTATCTGGATCTTCTCATCACTGTTGCTGTCTTTGCCACCGTCCTCCTCATGCTGATAATAGGTTTTGTGTGGCTGGCAACCAGAACAACCTGAGAAAAGAGGGATTTTTGCCTTCAGCAGACAATGTCCCTGGAGGGTTTGTCTACATTACCACTGACCCAAACCAAATCTCACCCTAACTTGAGGAAGTTCAGTAAATGCTCCCTCTATAATCCGTATCAGCCTAAGCTTCCAGCCAGAATCATAGATAGCTCCCTGGAACAAATACCTTACAAAGACTCCCATGTGTGTATGGAACAGTCTGAATGTCTCAAATAATGATTTAAGGAATATTTATCTGTTGTCCCTCTGATGTCCTGTTGAGTCAGATGAAGGAGGAGGTGACTTTTCTGTCAATGATCATGGGTGACCAATTTTTCTCTGGGACAACAAAAAGACACTGCACATTTTAGGGTGGATGGGGTGGGGGCGGTGTCCTTCCAGTAACTTAAAAGGAAAGAATTTCTGATTGTAATTCAGTTTGTCTTTCTTGTTCTTTCCTACCTGAATTATACTTCTTGGATCTAGATTCCAGCCTCTGTAGGTGAAGGAATTCACGTTTGTGTCTTAGCATCAAGACTTTTACACTAATTCCTGTAATGAGCAGAAGCACAAAGCTAATGACCTGGAAATTTTTGTGCCATCTGACTGAGGTCTGCAGGAAGCACCTAGGGATCCAGGAAATGGAGGGGACACACCATACCTATTTCCAAAGCTGATGAATGAGTCCTGTGACTTTTAAGGATGCCCAAGTTAAAGTGCTGTTAATTTAGCATAGTTTGGAAATTCCCATTTGACCATAGTGTATTTTTATATGAAGAATTAAACTCCAGCCCCCTCCTCCCCTCACCCTGCTCTGGGGATGGGGAAGGAGAAAAGCCATGATACTCAAAAATAATTCTCTTCTTGTACCTACCATCTGTTTTTTGTGAAGTTAGAAATATGTGTATTGTATTTGTAGAAAGACTCTTAATTCTCTTAGTCTACTGCTGAGATGCTTTCTTGTTTTAAATTCCCTCTCAAGATCATTTTCCATAGCTAAGCACTGTACTGTTAATTGGTTTTGTTTGTTTTTTTTACCAATACTATGGCTACCTGTTCAGAGAAATTGCTTTGTCTGATATGATAGTTTACTTGTAAGCTGACCTCCAAATAAAATAAAATAGCCTTTTTTTGGAAAAAAAAAGTTTGTTTTTTTTTTTCTCTAAAACTATACAACCCAGTCACATCCGTCATCAGGTTGCAATGTAGGCACCAGGAATATTTGTGCAAGCTGCCGAGAGGGCAAATAAAGAGGATAACCTATAATCTAAGGGGCATCATAAGCACTTAAGGCATACAGAAGAAGACCTGCTCTAAACCCATCCTGGCTCTGGGCGAGCTTACATTGCTAGTTGTTTCTCTCTTTTATAAAGCAAGGGTGAAAGTGAGTGATCCTGGTTGTGTCCAATGGGGAGTTTCACAGAAAATCAAAGTTATCTGGAGCCCTTGAGGATGGGAAGAATTTAGATTTTTATCCCCCAGGGCAGGGGAGAAGGGGGGAAGAAGAGGGTTGAAGAGAAAACGTGAGCAACACTAATGTATGCTTCTAGAAACACAAGAAGAAACGGGAGTCCACTCCTCATTGCCCGGCTCCAGCTGTGTTAATGTGCACAAGATTTTTAAAAATACAAAGCAGAAGAGGCAAATAACTGATTTTTGAGATACTCTTCTTTCCCTCTCCTCCTCTTTCTCCTCTTCTGTATGTTAGATACCTCCTAAGTTTCACCCTTCTGAAGAAATCACTCCAGTAGCCAGGCTGAAAGAACCCTTAAAGTGTCAATCATTGATGGCTCTTCTGACCAGATGGGCACGCTACCCACAGCTGGAACATAATATCAAGTGTGGCATCAGAAGAGGAAACTGAGGAGCCTTGGGTCAAGACGGGAGAGTTGGTTGCTGTGACAGGCATTTGTCATGCTGTTTGTTCTTCATTCTCGAAGAGGACCATGACATGAGGGAGGTGATGACATGAGGGAGGTGATGCCGTGACATGCAAATGAATTGAATTGAAGTGAGGGAGGGCTGTGCAAAGTCACCAGCCTCACTTTCTCCTCTGGAGCCATTTGAGTCCAGTGGCCAAATATAGATCAGGACCACTGGAGATGACCCAGGATGCAGTGGGGGACCTTGGCCTTTTCAAGCTGAGGTCTTTGACAGGTCAGTTATATGGTCAGTTGTAGGAAGCTGACAGAAGACGGCTCTATTCCCCTGGGGGATGGAGGGGGCTTACAGGTGCACAGGTGAGCTCTCTAAAGCACTCAGTGTAACCAGTCATGGCCTGTGAAGGGCAGTGTTGCGGGGCGGGTGAGTGGCATGGAAAATTATCCCACTGTCATTAACCATACTACTTACCGGGATTTAATTTCTCTAAGTCTTTGAAACCTTGTCAGGAGTAGTCTTCCTCCATTAAACATTCAAATGTCAAGCCTCATCAGTGCCTTGGTTGACATCTAGGAAAAAAAGTGCTAGTCCAGAGAAGAGGGACATTGATGGAGAGATGTGGGGGGAGGAAACGAGAGACAAACTTTGCCAGTGGGGTGGACCCTTCTGTTGTTGAAGGGTTCAGGTGGACAGCCAAACTTTCTATCATTAAAGAATTCTAATGTAGAAACTAGCGCCTGACAAGCCAAGAAGGGAAGTTTAGATCTGCTAATCCTATGATGAGGAGGCCACAGGCCAGGGACAATTTTTCACTCATCACCTCAGGAAGTGCACTTCTTTTCTTTTCCTTCTGTCTCGCTGCTCTCCCATTCACCTCTGCTCTTCTTCTAACCCACAATTGGCAACCTGCGGTCTGAGGACTTGGTTTTTAAATGTTTGTGAAACTTTATTTCAGTATAATTGATTTCCTTTGTGATCCCATGTATTTTATTTTACAAGCTTAAAACCATTGTTCTGAGAAGAGATCCATAGGCGTTGCTGGACTGCCAAAGTGGTGTGTGGCACGAAAGAGGGTGAGAACTCCTGTGGAATTTGAGAGTTGGAAGGGGATTTAGAGCCCAGCTAATCCAGCGCCTTCATTTTACAAATGAGGAAACAGGCCTTGGGCTTGTGACTTGTCCAAGCCATGTCTACAACATGGCCCAAACAGGACAAAAATCCAAGTCTTCTCTCTCCCAGCCCAGGGCTGCTTCAATACCCTTGACTACTTTTATGGCTAGTTGGGCACCTGTCATGATCTGAATCAGGATCCAGTTCCTTTGGGGCTTCCAGGGGTTGGCTGTACATGACTTTAGCTCTACCTGCCTGCTGTCTGCCCCTACTTAGCCAGGGCTTAGTCCTTGAATATTCCTTTCTTTTTTTTTTTTTTTTGCTTTTTAGTAAGGCAATCAAGGTTCAGTGACTTGCCCAGGGTCACACAGCTAGTAAGGGTCAAGTATCTGAGGCTGCATTTGAACTCAGGTCCTCCTGACTCCAAGGCCAGAGCTCTATCCACTGGGACACCTAGCTGTTCCCTTGAATATTCTTATTGGCCTCCTTTTTAGGAATTTAAATCATCACATCCATCAGGAAACAATCCCCTCCCTCAAACTACTGGAGGCAACTTTTCTGTGTAGTGGATAGAGCTCTGGACCTGGAGTTAGGCAGTCCTGAGTTCAAACTCAGCCTCAGATACTTACTGGCTGTGTGACCTTGGACAAATCACTTAACCCTGTTTGCCTTAGTTTCCTCGTCTGTCAAATGAGCTGGAGGAAGAAATGGCAAACCACTCTAGTATCTCTGCCAAGAAAACCCCAAACCCCAAAAGCCTTGAAGAATCAGACACAATTGAAAATGACTCAACAATAAATGTTTATTAGGTATGTGACACTTATTAGATATGTGACCCTGGGCAAGCAGATAAGTCATTTAACCTCTGCCTTAGTTTCCTTAATTTTAAAATGAGGATAAAAGGGCATCTATCTACTTCTCAGGGCTGTGGTAAGGATCAGATGAGATAGTATTTTTAAAGCACTTTGCACAATGGCCAGCACATCGTAGATGCTTAATAAATACTTCCCCTTCCTCCCTCTCCCCTTCCCTCCTTCCTTCCCTCCTTCGCTCTCCAAATCCACACTTCTTGCTGCTATGCAAGCACTGCAACCTTCCAGGAGGCCAGCAGGGGTCAGCACCCCCCACACAAAGAGCCGCTGACCTGTTGCTTGGTTCGGCAATTGGGATTCTCCTAGCCCCGCTGTTTTCCCACCTGCATCCGATTCTGCCCCGGCTTGGGCTTCATCACTAGAGCTCCCCGTTGCTTTGTTTATTGAAGAAGAGCCCAGAATTTCCGCTTCTAACCTCAGCAGCTCAATTTTCTCATTTCTCTCTAACCTCCATAGGTCAGTTTTTTTCCATCCACCCAGCAGGAAAAGCAACCCTAGCCAGCCCTATTTAAAACACGTGGAAACAGAGGCTCAGGGGAATGAGCCAACACAGATGAGCTCCCCTGGAGTATTTGAAGGGGACCATAGGATGGTGCCTTGGAAGCTGGGATGGACCTTGGGGACCATCTAGTCCAGCCCCCTCATTTTACATGATAGGAAACTGAGTCAAAGAAATTAAATGACTTGTCCAACAAAGGTTACATATTAAGTGGTAGAACTGAGATTCAAGCCAGGACCTCTGGCTCCAGATACTGTATTCTTTCCACTAGAAGCCATAGAGATTTCTTGTTTGGGTAAAGGTTGAATCAGGAGTTCTTAACTTTTGTTGTATCTTGGACCCCTCAGGCAGTCTGGTAAAGCCTGTAGACTGCTCAGAAAAAAATTTTAAATGCATAAAATAAAATGCATAGTACATAACAGAAAACCACTATATTGAAATAAAGATATATTTTCCCCATCCAAGTTCATAGACCCCCTGAAATGTATGCATGGACCCCTTGAGGGTCTGTGGACCTCATGTTATCCCCCAGACTAGATGGACTCAGGTTCCTTTTAATTTTGTGATTGTCTGAAAAGGAAGTGGTTGGTGCTTTGGGGTGAAAGAAAAGAGACAGCCAGGGGTATAGAGTCAAATGAATCCCTTCATAGCAAGGAACTCACAGAAAGAGGCAGGGAGGGGCCCCTCCCCTCCATTATGGAACCGCCTTTAAGATGACCAAAGAAATAGGGATGGGCTGAGGAGGGAAAGGGTTTTCTGAAGTCTTTGCTCTGGAGCCTGGATCTTTAAAATCTGTATGTAGGGACAGTGACTCAGTATCCCATCGCTTTCGTAAAGTGCTTGGCACATACTAAGCATTTAATAAATGCCCTACCTACCATCTGTCTGTCTGCTTCTCTCTCTCTCTCTCTCTCTCTCTCTCTCTCTCTCTCTATGTGAATGTGACTTTTGTCTGAAGATGTAGGTGTCTCAGGTACCTGACAACACATTGAGTCTGAGTATGGAGGGTCAAATTCTAAGCATTTGTGTGGGTGAAGATTAATCAGTAATCTACTGGTTTCTGATCTATTTGATTACATCCTTCCTGTTCTGTTGAAGGGAGGTTGGCATGTTGATGGCAAGTGCTAAGTGAGTCTACTAGAATAGGCACAGTTTGAGTTTGTGGGAAACCCCTTTGCCACTTTCCCATAACCTCAACATCTCATAACTTCAAGACATCTCCTTTTGTCCTGAAAGTCGGGTATCAGAAATATGTCTACTGCTCCTATCACTGGATGACCTTGGACAAGTCATATGATCCCTATGTCACCCTCTTGCAATCTTCCTTTCCTCATCTGTCAAATGAGAGACTGGAGGGGAAAGGGATTGTTGCATTAGATCAAAGGGACTCTTACATTTTTTAAAATTGAGCACCGCTTATTGTTTTTATTATGTGGCTCCTTAGTGATATTTTCTTTACATTAGAGGCTCAAGCCACAGCCACTTTCCAGTCCTAAAATTTTAGGAACCTATGAACCTAGGGATGGGGTTTCTTCCAACAGAAGTCCCTGGAGACTGTGGGGCCATCTGTCCCTCTCAATTTCCTGGGAGAACTATTGCCAAAGGGCCTGTGGGGATTTGGAACCCACTAACCACTTTGGGTGACTTCCCATTTCTTTGCTCCAGGGAAAGTCCCCATTTTGGCCTCTGTCTTTCGGCACTAATTGATGATTTGCTTTTCTTCTCCTATTTTGTTAGCAATTTGTTCTATCTTGTT